TGGGGGGGGGGGGGGGGGAACAGCAGCATATAAACCTAGTAAATAAATAAATAAAACCACTCTGTTCGGAGACTGGACTGCTGATGCAATTAAAAAAAACTCACACACACACACACACACACACACACACACACACACTTCCAATTAGTCCTTGGGGTTCTCTCTAAAATTTCTTTACCGAGTGACATTGAAGCAGAAGCTTGGGCATTACTGGCAGGACTCAGGGTGTGTAAGAATATAAAGGAAGTTCCCTGCATGTTATATAAATATATTGGGGGAAAAAACAGTCAGTAATTGTTCCTTCTTCTTCACAGGTTTTGTTGCATGACTTTTGTCACTCAGGATACACACTACTAATCTGCTTATGAGCATTTCTTAACCTACGCTTCACTTCCTAGTGCTGATCTGATCATGGCAGTCCTTCAAGTAAAATTCACCAAAACTAAGAGAGACAAATTGGCTCAGATCCTGTGGATTCTCAATTGGGTTTCCGTAGTGAGTGGGATCACGCTCTTTAGTTTGGGCCTCTTCTTGAAAATTGAAATTAAGAAGCGCAATGAGGTGATGGCAAGAGAGATTAACTCTGTCCCCAACATGCTAATCTCAGTAGGGGTGATAGCTTGTATCATCAACTTTCTTGGTGGCAAAATATGCTATGACTGTTCAGATACCAACAAGTTCTCCCGATGGAAGCTGGTTATGTTCCCTTACATTGTGTGTACCTTCTGCTTTACCTTCTGCATCCTGGTAGGTGCTGTCATGTGCTATACTATGAGGAATGAGCTAGAGGAATCCCTTTATCTGGGACTGAGGAATGCTATTAAATTCTACAAGGATACAGACATACCTGGAAGATGCTTCTTAAAGAAAACAATAGACCTGTTACAAATTGGATTCCAGTGCTGTGGAAACAACGGCTTCAGAGATTGGTTTGAAATTCAGTGGGTATCTGTTCGTTACCTGAATATGGCATCACAGGAAGTTCTGGAGTAAGTATTCCTTTAGTCATGAGGAAAGGTTCTGAAAATACCTTCCCATAAAAAGAGTTTTTATTGATGAAACGGTAAATTGCATAAAGAGTTAATACATCAACAACACACTGAGGGATGGATAAAGCAGGGCTAGGTTGTTTGTTGCTCCATCATTCAAGCATCATAATATTCAGCAGTATTTGTCTTTCTTCTAAAACTGACATGTTTTGGGGGAGAAAAGCCTTTTCCCAAAGACCACGCTGATCAATTCTGGTGGCAGATCTGTTTCAAGAAGACAAAAGAAGTTTTTTTCTGATTACAATCAACCTAGAGATGTCATACAATACCTATGAAGTCTGGATAACACATTAGTTTTGTGGATGGTGATAGTAATAACACCGTTTAGTCAATTTGGTCACCCTAAAAGAAAGGGTAAGCATGTGGTAGTCTAGTGGTACTGAAGGGCACCACCCTTTTCATATTTAAGGCAATATGAGTTTTGAGATGATCTTCAAAGAGACCTCAAACAACCTGTATTAACCTGCTAGATTTCTGTCTTTGAATCAAATACTGGTATATAAAACCCAGAATTATCTCTGTCTTTAAAAAGGCAAAAGTTGACTAATAACTTTTTGGTGATATTATGGAATACATTCATGTGCTCTAGTCTCTACCTCTATAAGATCCTTCAGCTCCCATCATACCAGTCTGCTAGTGAGACTTTTGCATCTGAAGAAAAATCATTGACTGTGCCACCAATACACTGTCTAGTCAACTCTGAGGACTTAAAAATCAAAACTTAATTTTAATTTAGATATGATAATTGACAAATACCAAGTAAAATAGGAAGTTTTCCATTCAGGGAAGTTGATGACCCTACAAACACCATGCACTTTATATGAGAAGGCAGAGTGAAAAAAATCTCAGTGACTCTTATTAAGGTGATGATAGGAAAAGTAACACTGGGCCTGAACAGACATGTTACAATGGTGTAATCACTCTTTACATTAATATAAAAGAAGAAAAGGCAGATGATGTAAACCTCTACCTCAGTGTAAGTTCACCCAGTCTAGTGTAGAAATATCTCTGAAAGAATTACAGCTAAAGTTACACTGTATAATTGCCATTTGTATGCAGTTTCTCTCAGGATAGCTGTTTGCTGAAGACAAGCAGGCTGAATTTTGCCTATTCACCACCACCTGGTGGGGTGCTATAATAATACCTACTGCATGTATGCCTAGGGTACCCTAGGATAGCTACTCATCTACCTGCTCCGGATCTCAGTGTAATTATATCAGTGTAAAGATAGATAAATGTTGCATGTCTAGGCTCTTAATCAAAATGTTGCACCAGCAACTGAGAAGCCCATTATGATTCTTGAAAAGGACTTTAAAATGTCCGTTGATGAGAGCTGGGCAATTGTGTAACCCCTGGGAGCTGACCAGATTAATGGTAACTCCAGGAGGAAGCACAGCCTGATGACATGCATCAAGGCAGGGAGATCAGAGCTGCAGCTAGAGACGTAGGAATTAGGAAGCTTTAGTTTCCCTTTCCCCTATTTGATAATCCAGGGTCTAAAAAGCTTGCAGAACAACTTGGAAAAAATACTGTAGCTCTCATCATCCTGACATCTTACAAGTCATTAAGCTGATAGTTTGGCTGCTTTCTGCTTTATTATACATATTTAATTATTTTAGATGTGGGGTGTTGCAAAGAAGTTATTGGTGAATTATTTTTTTAATTGGATCAAACAAATTAAAACTATTTTGCGATTTCTCCTTAATATACAGTGGCAGGCAGAGAAAAGAATACACTGTGAAATCATTTCATAATTGGAGAGAGAGAACTGAGATGCACAAGCTATAGAGGCTAACTGCAGCTGTGAAAAAAATGTTTTGAAGCTCACAAGGAACCTTCCGAAGTTCAGTTTTCATTACAAAATCAGATCATGGGCCAGGCTCATCAAATAATGTGCAAACCTATTGAAGAAAAACTTGGCCCGAAGTTTGAGGAAAGCTGGACTGAGGCAAGGTGGGGAAAACTGAGGTTATTTAGCTTGGAGAAGAGAAGACTGGGATCACAGGAGACAGGGCAGGAAGTAACCGTGCAGAATAGACAAACACATGTCTGGATTTAGGATTTTGAATAGAGGATGCAGATGGTGTGGTGCACCATCACATATAATATAAGATATATTTTTCTCCAGTTAAAAGATAAACTAGAAGATTTACTGATATGCTAAGTCCAGCACTATATTACTCAGTTTAAGATCAAAGCAAAAAAAACTTTATTGAAATGTGCACTGATTTGCTAAATTAAGTTAAAAAAAACCTAAGCAAAAATAGTCAAAGATATTGTTTATAGCCATGATGGTTAAATATACTTCTCTTATTCAGAAGTCATCTTGAGTCTTATTCAGACTCATCAAACAAAACCTAGCCTTCTTGAGCACCTTGACAGATCATTCAACACTTCACTATGAGTCATTGCCACATCTGAGTTAATGTTCATGTAAGTTAATATTACCATACCTGAGTTTGTTTTTGGTTAGAACCAAAAATAGTATGAAGGGCAGTGAAGCAGAAGACAGAGATTACCAGGAATGGCTAACAGACAGCAAAATTGCAGAAGAAAGTATATCTTGATTAACTGAATATCAAGACCATTAAGAAGGAGAGAGGGTTGCTAACACATATGGTGTAAAGAGAGTAACAGGAATCAGGGAGATTATGATAAGCTACAAAGTTAATTGACTCTATTAGCACTGCTTGAATAGAAAAGCACAGAAAAGCCACTGCCATTGACAGGTATTTGATCTGAAACTTTTGGTACAGCAGGAATCAAAGAGGGAGTGCAACTGCACTCACCCTGAATCCATCCACCTGTCCCCACAGAATTGCAACTGAGTGACACCTGTGAGGCATGGGTGTGACTATGGGGGCGGCTGAAGCCATAATTAAAGTTCCTAGGGCCAGGAAGTCAGGCCTACGGCTACCAAGCCCATGGCTTGGAACAAGTGAGTTGGTGCCAGAGTGGCCAGAGCTGAAAGACTGTGTGTAGGAGCCAAGGATCTCTGAAAAACTGTATCTTAAAGGTAAGTCACCAGAAGGAGCTACTTCAACTCTAATAGGCAGCCTAACCTTGAGGGTCTGGTCCTGCTACAGGAGATACTAAAAAGAAAGTGCACATTGATATCATCATCGTACTTAATAGATTTGCCCTCCATGGAATTTCAGAGCAATAGCTGACTAAGAGGGACAAAAGTAAAAGATGCTGCTTTTAATTTCTGCCAGTCATGCAGAAATAGCATTGTTCTGTGTCATACCTCATCAACAAAATTATTTATTAATTTTTATTTACTGAGCCACCTACTCTACCCCATTGTTTTCAAATTAAGCTCTCAGTCAAATTTTGCCCACTGAAGGCAATAGGCTCCAGAGAGATTTAAATGAGGGAAGCAAGCGCCCTAGACAATTTCTATTACTGTTAACAGTCGTGAGTTAGAGAGAACCCAGCATGGCTCCTAGATACAGAGTTGAATGTGTAAGACAGAGAACCAAAAAAGTAGTTTTTTCCCTAACTGACCGATCTAATTAACATCAAAATAACAGACAGCCTGGCTAGTCCACAATGGTGAGGACAGGGCAGATTTAGACAGTGTGAATTCGAGTATGGAGGGAGCAAGAGAAAGAAGAGCTCAAAGATTATACCAAGATTACAATCCTAAATGAGGGAAGAATGTTGTGAATAAAGACAGAGAAGGGAGGGGAGAAGAAGAAAGAAGATTAGGAAGAAAGGTGAAAAGTTCAGTTTTGTGGAGATTACATTTGAGATGTATGTCAATTCTCATTCTTAATCCTCTGACTATGAACTGCCATATGCTACAAGGACTGCCTCTGTCTCTCTCTAAAGCAAATATATGATCCAAGCAACGAAACATCTTATCCTCACAACACCATTGCACAGTAGGGGAGTGGTGTCATCCTCCTTACAGACTGGGAACTGATCCGGGAGGCGGTAGTGCAGGGTGGTGGGGGGTGGTGCTCCATCCCCAGCTGCTTGTGTGTATCCTATAGCCCCTTTTCAAGTAGCCTCTGCAATAAAGGATAATTTTTCAAAGTACATAAAGACTGACACTTTGGGGTAGAGGAGGACCCCTGCTTTTTGCATAGCTATAACATTCCCACAATTGTTTATTTTACAATAATTCTTTCTAAATGATAGATTGCTGCTACTGCAGCATAACACATTTTCAGTTCTTTACTGCAGCATCCACTCGAGGTATAGGCACTTTGCAAATACTCAAGAAGGATGGGCCATAGGTTATAGAGTTTACAGTCTTGCCCTGAATATGCCTTACTGTCAAGATTTTGTTAACAGTGGTATAATTTGTCAGTGTAGCACCATAAATGCCTGTGTGTGTAGCCAGAACAGACTGCCTGTGCTGAGGAGCTTACAGACTAAGCTAAAAAATAGTATAACAAAAATGGTAGCAAGCACAGAAAGTTGTGGAGTAGACAAGGCTTATAACAATATGATCATGTGATTGTTTTAGTTAGTTTACTTTCACCCATCTGTGTAGTAGCAAAAGTGTGCAGGTTTACCAACCTATTATTTCATTCCCTAATAATGCCTTCCATCAGGAATCCACACAATCTGATTACACTGAATTAGGATAGCAGAATCTATGGACCGTCTCCAGCCTTCCCCCCCACACCCGTGTCTTACCAGTAATGTATATTGGGGTAGGTACAGGAGGCACCAGTCAACTTAGTGGTCCCCTGCCCTGTGGCATCCGTGTCCTGGCAGTGGCAGCTGGGTACATGGACACTATGCTGCTCTTGTAGCAGCAACAACTGGGGAAGCAGACCATGCCACAGAACCAGCAGCTGGGGTCTTTTTTTTTTAATCCATGGTGCAGGTAATACTCCTAACACCTTCCCCTCTGGTGTTCAGTACCACCTCCCCTCTCTGCTAGATATGCCTCTAGTTCTTGCACATTCCATTTCTGCTGTTGATAACATTACCTTTAAAAAAAATTGCTGCTGAGCCTCACTGAAGTAAATACTATAGAGCCATGGGGGAAAAATAGGCCTCTGAGTTTGGAATCTGCCATTCTGGGTATCAGAAACAAAGTGCCTACCCTACTGCACATCGTTGGAGTAAACAGCAATGAAAGGAAAAGCTGGTGGTTGAGAATAAGATAAATGTTTAGGCCCCAGTATGTTTTAACCATCTTGTAGTGGTCCTATCCATCTACCACCTTTCCCTCCCAGTATAGTTTCTTCCTTCTCCTCCTGGACAGAACACACTTCTTCAAGCAATCTTTTCTCCCTTCCCATCTATATACCCTTCTTCTGGGATAGAAATGTCTACTTTTAATGAAGGATTCGTTGTAGTTCCTGTGGCCCATAAGCTTGTTCCTCTATTTGCTACTATTTTTCAGACTTGCTTATATTTCTGAGAGAGAGAGAGAGAGAGAGAGATACTAGTGAAACAGAGTTTCTAGTAGTCTGGCTTATACTAGAATTGTATTTAAAGCAATCTTTTTTAATATTATAAACATAAATATCTTGGAAGACACTTTATTCCACTCCCCCTTACTATCATTGAATCCACTCCTTGCAAAACCAAGATGCAGTCCCACATAGGATACTGAACTGATATTGCACTTGAGAAAACACTTTAAGAGAAGGGAAATATCTCCTTCCTCAGGTAAACAGTATTTCTTGCTGGGAGTATGTTCTCATTCATTCTACTCAAATCTGCAAAGGTCTGTAGGTGTCCATATTAAGGCTATATTTTTGGAAAAAATAGGGCATGTCTACATGTGCATTTAAGCATGCTTAAATTAAATGTGCATTAGCTTAATGAGCATTAAGCGGGTTTAGGCAGGCGTCTACACATGCAAGCGTTAAAGCGCATTAATGCTGTGTATGGACTGACTTGGGAATAAAGTTAGTTCCAAGTCAGTCCACACACACAGGGTTAATGCACTTTAATGCGTCTACACATTCGTTAATGCGCTTTAACTATTCACACCTAAATTTGGTACCTGCAAATGCAGGTATCAAATTTAGGTGAGAATAGCATAAATTCACCATTTTTGAAGTGCATTAAGGGCATGCACATGTAGGCATGTGCCCTAATGCGCCTTAAAAATTGACTCGTGTAGATGCACCCATAGTGACAGAATCTTCCATTATTTACTGCTGCTACCAGCCTTATATGTCCATAACTCTTCATCTTGCTGCAGCCGTTTGAAGAGTAATGTCGATGGGATATTCTTGGTGGATGGAGTGCCTTTCAGCTGCTGCAATCCAAATTCACCACGGCCCTGTATCCAATACCAGCTTACAAATAACAGTGCTCACTACAATTATGATTTTTTGACAATGGAGCTCAACATCTGGATGAAGGGGTGTAAGCAGGCTCTGCTGGATTACTATACTGATATCATAAAGTCCACTGGCATCATAGTGCTCATCATCTGGTTCTTTGAGGTAAGGCTTTAAAAGTGACTTGTGAAAAATTCCTGTAGTAGAACTAGAGGGGAAAGCCTAGTCCTTTGGGAGTGGAAATGACTAGAATAATGTGCGAGTCAATCCTGCAATCATCCAATGACTCAGGGAGCTTGTATCTCCATATAACTCCTTAGGTCAGAGAAACCTGCATAGTTTTCATGAATACAAGAAGCTCTCTCTGTGGCTGTCCTCCCCTCAACGATCACTGCACCTGTTGCCTCTGCCTCTTCCACTCCTGCTGCTGTGTCACTTGTGGCTCTGGCCCAGGACACAGAGCACATGACAGCCCCACCCCAGCTGGGCCATGCAGCAGTGCTTGCAGCAGCAGCAGCTCTGGCCCCAGGATTCCAGAGCTGCTGCCACTGCTATTGCATGGCCAGGCTGGGGCCAGAACTACCATGTGCTTAATGCCTTGGGCTGGAATGGGGCTGGAGCTGTGACTGAGGGTAAGTGGTGGGGAGAGGGGCAAAGACTATGGGGGTCATGCAGTGAGGTACACATAGGGGGGTAGAGACTGTAGGGGTTAGGGTTCCAATTCTGGCCAAAATCTAGGTCTGGGGCTGGAGCTGGAGCCGCAGCAGCTGCTTGCCCCTCCCTCCATATGAGAGCTGGTATCTGAGAGCTTCCCCCATCTGTATATATAGCTTTACTATACAGCCAGGAAATGCCATTATTGATCATGTTTTCAATGCAGCCAAAATACTATAACTGAAACAACTGCAAAGGTCTGTCACACGTAGGCCATAGGCAGTTATGCCTAATAGTTAGGGTTGGGGTCAGGAACCCAGAGCATAGAGCCGAAAGTCAGGATAGGGTCACAGCCTGGGTCGGGAGGCAGTGGCCAAGCCAGAGTCCAGTTCTGTAAGACAAAGCCAGGAACAGGCTGTGGTCAGAGAGTCAGAATCAAGAAGTCCACAGTTCATGCCAGGGTCCAGACCTGGGAGTCACAGTCAGGAGCAAGTCATAAATAAGCAGCCAGGCATAAATATGAGCAATGGAACAAGGAACACTGAAACAGGGAGCAAGAATAGGGATCAGATTAAAGTAAAAAACCTGAGATCAGAGTAGTCTACAAGCTCATCAGAAGACTTGTGCAGACAGCTCACTGCTGTCTGCACTGCCAGTATAAAGCCTGTTTGGGATGGGGTTGGCTTCCTCCCAGTACAGCGGCCAATGACTGGCTGCAAGAAGGATGACTTGTCCCCAGCTGGAGCAGTGACTCATTAAAAAGCCAGAGTTTGCACCTGCAAATGTATTCATGCTCCTGGAGTCTGTAAAAAAAAATCTGCCTGGAAATTTTAATTCACGTCTAAAGAAACCTAATGGCAAGGATTAAAATGCAGTTTATGTTCCTCTTTAATACAGGTTTTAGTTGTTCTGATTGCTACTTTATCATGTTAACATGTCATTTTAAATGTTACCTGGTAATGCACTTTAAATAAGATAACTTTCTGTATCTTTTCTAAAATGCATTCATGGAACACTTTTTCATGTGCCTTGGGAAGAATCTGCCCTTCTGAGAAGTTCATTGTGCATTTTAAAGTTGCTGGAAGTTAACAACAATACTCTTCTTGCCAAACTCAGGCTCATTTTCTTTTTATAGATCCACTGCATCCATTAAATTATATATTTGAATGCTTTTGAAAAATGCAGTGACAGAAATGCAAATAGAAAAACTATCTAGCATGTTTTGATTGATATTTGGGAATGGGAACTTTCTTTTCCTTATAGATGTAGGGTTGGAACAAAAACGTCTCTCAAGAGGTCATCTAGGCCAACTGCATCATTTCCCAGAATCTTGCCACAAAAACATTTGTCTACCCTGTACTGAAAAACTTAAAATGATGAAGATTCATAAGCTTTCTAGCTAATCTGTTACTTTTCTAGATAATCTGTATTTAACTACTGTCAGAGTGAGAAAGCCCTTCCAAATATCTAATTTAAGTCTCCCTTTTTTACCGTTTAAGTCTGTTACTTTTGGTCCTGTCCCCAGCAGACACAGAGAACAATTGATCACCATCCTTTTTAATAACAGTCCTTTTTGTTTTTGAAGACATTATCAAATTCTATCCCCTGACTTCTCTGCCATCGACTAAATAAATTCTTTCTTCCAACCATAGACCATATTTTCAAAACCTGTTACCAGGTTGTTGTTTGTCTCTGGACTATTTCCAATTTGTCCACATCTTTCAGAAAAAAACATGGTATCCAAAACTATGTATAATTTTCCCATTTACTTCAGTGGGGCCAGAATTTCACCCCAATATCTTATGATGTTACCACCTGGTGGCAGCCCGTCTGCGTGGAGTACAGTATCTAGAACAGTGGTCACTGATCAGTGGATCTTGATCCACCGGTAGATCTTGGAGCCTCTTGGAGTCGATCCAAGGCTGGGGTGGGGGGCTGACTGCCTGTGTGCATGCATATATACATCCCACCCCAGCAGGTCAGTCTGTGGGGGAGTGAAGGGGCAGGGCCCCCATGGTGAGGGATAGTGCCACAGAGGCAGAAGCAGAGGTAAGTTGAGTGGGGCCCTGGCCAGGTGGGACTTGCCTCCTGGGGAGGCATGCCCCCAAATAATTTTTTCTCCCTCTGCCTCCATCTGCACCCCCTTCCCACCCCACAGATTTACCTGCTGGGCAGGCCAGGATTGGGGGTGGTAGCGCTGCACAGTAGGTCTTGGGTTGCTTTTAAATGCCAAAGGTGATCTCCTACTTAAAAAGGTTGGAGACCACTGATTTAGAAGTATTTCTGTTCCATGATGTACTGACATGAAACTGGGAATTCTAAATAAAGGTTGAAGGTATACACAAAAAGTCTGTTTATGGTAGCTTGCATTTTTTTTAAAAATCAGGAAACAGATTAAATTCTATTGCTGGGGTAAAAATGTTGACAGTTCTACTCAATACTAATAATAATTTGCATTCATGAAGGACTCAGCCAGTTATTGTCAGTAGGCTCTAATTTAAATGACTCAGTTAACAATTACCCTTTTCCTATAGCTTTCTGTACTTATGGGTGTCCGATACCTACAAACAGCAATGAAGAATGTTCTCCTATTGGGTGATCCAGAGTGCGAGTCCAGTGGCTGGTTACTAGAAAACAGCTTCGTAGAAACTGCCAAGTACAACATCCACATCATTAAGAACCTTGGCAAAGTCAACCATGTGTCCACTGTCTCGGGGATGAATGACCCCAACATGGATATACAAAAGGCAAACTATGGTCCAGACAACATTACAGCAAAATCCATTCCCACAGCTAACTCAACATGACAGCTATTTCACTGAAAAGCTAAATCTGATTTGGCACCATCATTTAAATCATGACATCACCAGATTTTTACTGGTAGGAATAAAATCAGGAATGTAATTAGGTAATTAAACAAATCACAGAGGGGTAAAAATTCTAAGGGCCCTGCTACACATTCAAATTAAAGCTGGATAGAAACCAGCTATAGAGTTGCTACACATTTTTCAAGCACTAACTTTATAGCTAGTTGGCTCTCTTTATATTGGATAGTCATTGTTATGGTCTGAGAATTACTTTGGACATGTAGCTGATCTAAATTTATTGCACAATTAAATAGTTAATTGTGTGATAATGACTTTGTACTTGTGGCCAGTCTTACTTTGCACATATGGCTGGTCTAAATTTATTGTGTGATTAACCAGTTCATTGTGCAATATATGTAACACGTAGCAGGGGCCCAAAAAGTGATACTCCTTGGGTCTGGATGTAGCTTCCATAACCCAGAGGTCCTTTACCAGGAGGATTTGGCAATGTGGGGTGTGAGAGCAACCACCCATTCTGTAGGGGTTGCTGCACCTCCTATTCCCAGCCACCTCTGCCCCCGTCCCTCCCCCATTGGTGTGGTAGGCCACGGCACAGTAGCCTCTGGTGACTTTTTTAAAGTCCCTGAAAAATAAGAATCCCCCCACGTTCCCCCCCATGCTCAAAGGCAGGTCCTCTTTCCTCCCCCACCTGCCACTGCTGCTTTCCCCACTGTCCCAGGGGTGGGAAAAGCCTCAAAGCCACTCCAGCCAGGGTGCTGGGCTCAGCTGGGAACAATGGCAATGGGCAGGGGGGTTTCCCCTCCCCAAGCCTGCTCCTGGGGGACTATGCAGGATAAGGGCACCCCCCTGCCCATCCCTGCCAGTGTTTCCT